GAGAGAGAGAGAACGAAAGGATGAAAAATTGTATCGTTACTTATCTTGATTACGAGTTGGAGTTAGTTAACTTAATTTATTTTTTTTTTTTATTGAAATTCCAACAATTGTTAAAATTTATGAATAACTATTTTTTTTCGAAAGAAAGAAAGATTTGAAAAGATTTTTGTTAAACCGATTGTTTTCATAATTGATTGAATTCAGAGTGAATTCACAACGATCGATCAAGTTTTAGGCAATTGCGATGATATCTCTTTTTTCTTTTTTCTTTTTTTTTTCTTTTTTTTTTTTTTAAAAATTGGATACATTTTATTTCCCTTATCTGTAAATCAAGATTCACGCAATCCGTTATTCATTAGTTTCTTTTCTCTCGTTTTGATTTTTGTTTTTGTTTGGATTATTTTTATTATCCTTAAGCATAAATCTTTTCTCCTGTCGCGGTGAATAATGTGACATTTCTTGGACCTAAAATAAATAATATAATTTTATTTATTAAATATTTCAATTAATCCATTTACATATATATATATATATATGCATAATAATACCGGTTGAAATTCGATCGAGGTACTGATGTCGTTGAAAAGAATTTGTTTCCTAGCGGTATTCTCGCTGTTAAATGTTTGCGGTGATTCGGATCCGCTTCTGGTGTGCCACAAGCCTAACTGAGTCGTTCCCACTAAAATCGAAAGAACAATTAATATTAAATATTCATCGATCTATCTTCTGTTCGTAAATTCGTATTCCTTTTTCTCCTTTTTTTTTATCGAAATTTACCCGTGGGAATAGTGGTGCGAAACGTTTCATGACCGTTTTCTATAATAGATATTTCTTGGGGAGTAGTTCGATATCGTTGGCTCCTTCGTTCCTCGATTATTCGTTGATTTCGTGGCTCGATCAATTGTTGATCAATTATTCGTGGGGCCGGTGGTTCGGGTCTTTCTACTCGCGTACCGTTCGTCATCTGGTACGAGATCGTATGACCGCGTGGGAAGGATTCCTCGTATTCCGGGAGCGAATAAAATTGGCTGTGAATCGTTTCAAAATTTCGAAATTGATGAAAAGATCATTATATCAATGACGATTTATCCGTTATTTTTTTTTTTTTTTAGTTCATAATTACAGTTCTCTTTGCTCGGCGATCGGTGGAGGTCTTGGAGCCTCGATAAAGACAGGTTCGTCGCTGTGAATTTTGAACAAAATTTATATCGCGTTTTGATAAGAGTTTCGACAAGTTGACACGTTTAGAAATATTATTATCATAACTTCTATTAATTAATATTTACACTCGAGTTCTTTCCATCCGCGGTGTTCTTATCGGTGTTCTCGGTACTCGTTCAGGCGAATAGTCACTGTAAGTTTCGCAAGATTATAAAAATGATCAAAATTTGACGAGAAGTTTACAGATAATTTTTACAGAGGATCGTAATACACATTTACATTTCCCTGTCCTCTATCACTCGTGGCATCCTTGGCCTTCTCGGATGTTCGGCAGCCTCCATTTCCCTGTGTAAATTGTGCAAGATATGAAAATTAGATCAACTTTGGGGCTCGATCGAATCAGTCAGTTTAAAAATCCGTTTAAAAATTGATCAAATCGATTGAAACGATTTAAGAAAATTATCTCGTCTGTTTAAAATTTAACTATTTTAGTTTTTTTTTTTTTTCCTTACTCAAGTCTTCTGACACGTTCATCATCCCTAGGTCCATACGCTAATCCCATAAGGTGTTCTTGACAAGGTGTTAAAGGATCCGATATCCTGCGTTCCGGCGTTGAATGGCCGATAGGCTGAGATCGAAATATAATATACCGTAATAAATAGTTCATTTCTGAAGACATTTATGAAAATATGAAAGTTTCGTATACCTCTCCAAGCCTTTCCTCAAGAAATTTCAAAGTAACCATAGTTCCATCGAGAAAACCATGCAAATGTGGCATGTTCTGCTCGCAGCAATTAAAATCTTTGTCTTTGAAAACCTTCCACCAGAAATTCTCATCTTCTACGAATTTTTTCAATTTTCTCATTGAGACGATACAATTGTTCAAAATTGTTCGGAAGCTGTTCAAATCCGATCGGGTATATTCTGGCGTCTGACTCTCCCCATCCCTCCGGCCGTCGTTTTCCCTCTATTAAACGAATATTACTTATCATTCACCAAGAATCGAAATCTAATTAAAATCGATCGTAATCGTACCGATCTCGGATTCTGATATCTTTCCAAATTTTTTTTTATATGTTGAATCCTTTGGAGAAGCTTTTGATTGTTACCGAATTGTTCGTTTTGTTGTTTCGAATTGTAATTGCACTTTCTTACGGTACAAAGTTCTCTCTGAGGAGAGCTTGGACGGTGATTTGGCATACAACATCCTCGTTTCGGGTCCTGATAAAACGGAACGAATCGTTATTCGCGCTGATCGATATCGAGATGACTTTTTCTATTTTTCTAAACTTTATGAATTTATGAATCGCAAGGGAGGGAAAAATCTGGAACAACGAGATAGAGATGTGGTAAAGTATCGAGTATTAGGTTACGTACCATCCACAAAGGTGTTATCGCTCTTTCTATTCACCAAATTCTGCCATTGACTATGGAGATGAGATGGAAGTTTTCTTGTTTCGGATTTAATTTTATCATTATTGTCTATTTATTTGTTGAGGTCATATTTGTAATAATTTTCATGGTTTCGACGATGTGTGTAAATGGTAGTTTCAAGTTGACAAAAATGCCATCTATTTTTCGATTTATTCACCCATAAAAATCGTTGGAACAGCGCTGTCGATAACATCGATCCGATCGAGCCTTCTCCCGAATAGTATAGTCAGTCAATTCAGTTTCACGGAAGAACACCTTCTCTTACGTATCGTTTCGCAAACATAAATAAAGAATCATGGCACATCGATCGAGTTGAACGAGAAGGAAAACGACTTTTAAACGGCTCGTTTACCATAACGCTTCGTAGAGAGAGTAGATCTCCCTGAAATCTTATGAAACGGCTCGTAGACCCGCATAATTGCATTGTGAGAAGGGACTCGAGGGGCCCGGGCTCGCATGGCCGATTCACAATGAGGAATCGTGACAAAAAGTCAACGAGATTGTCGCTACGGAAAATCAGGACCTCAGTACACCTCGAACACCGGTGTATTTTTCCATTCATTTGCAAAAGGGAACTCGATCTTCAGTGAGAACGCAGCAGCCATATTGTGAATCGAAAATAGGATTCATTCGAGGATTGCGAAGGATCGATCATTCTTCCATGATTTAATTATTCTTGTATTCTTTCGACAGATTTTTATTCAGTTGGAAGTTTATTATTCGAAAAATTAAGGATATATGAAAATATATAAACTTTTGATAAATTTATTATTCTAAAATTTATAGAACGTTGGAATATTTTTGTTGGATAACGAAGGGGACAATTGTGCTTCCAAGATGACAAGATGAATTTCGAATCGTAAATCTTTGTTTAATCAGTTGTTGGACGTTTAGACATTGGAATGGAAACGGAATAACAATCACCGAAATTGGATCATTCAATTGCAAAACAGGTAAGTTCGAGTCGATTTTTCAGTGTCATCCATTTCGTGCACCATTTTCTATCTTCAAACCACGAATTTCAATCATGTGAAAAGCGTGAAAACCGACCCGGCATCACCAATTTCCATTTGAAACGATTTTTCGGGGTGGCTTCACCTTCACGTTCCCCACAAATTCGACGCGGGATTTTCGGATTCTCCTTTTAAAGAATCCAGCCAAATTACAAATTCTTTGAATCTCTTACACTTGAAACTCTACAAAATTTAATTTATTCGAGTCTCGTTCACCTTTGCATCTAATCAAATTATCATCTTTATCCTCGCTTAATTTTTAAAATTCAGTTTAAAAATATATATATCCGTCTTTGTATTCTCTGCTTCTCTTTAAATTTCGTTACGAATTACACGTTCTCAGTCCCTGTTTCATTCTTCTCCTCACAATCTTCCCTAGATCGAACATTTATTCGAATTCAAATTGTAACCCTTTAAAACCCTTTAAAATCGCTCACAATCCATCAAACATTAAAATCTCAAATCCCACCCTCTTTCGATCGAGCGAGCCATAAATTTTGGATTATTTGCGAGCGTTGCGTGATTCGAAGGGAGGAAAGGAGGATTCCAAGGGGTTTTTCTTCCACCACCACGCAGGATGACTAGGTGGTATACGCATAGAATTCGGCGTGATTTTGAAGCGAGCGATCGTGGTAAAGACCATTTGTCGCGATACGGGAGATCGGCGTGATCTTCCGACAGGTACGAAACAGGTAAACGCGCCGCGGGTGCCCCTTTTGCCGCGTTTTCACGTCTCCGCTTCGAGGGGACAAAGCGGCGCGGGCCGATTCAAAGATCCCTCAAAGCTGGCCGCAAAATCAAAATAAAGTAATTGTTGCCCCTTTGTCCCTCTCGCATCTATCTCTCCACGTCCATCTCCTTCCTTTCTTCTTGACAATAAATAATAATAATAAATTATAGTAATAAAAAAATTTCATTGCTTGAAAAGAATATTATTCGAAATCGAAATCTCTATGATTTCTTAAACGTTCTAATAATATCGATGTATATTAAAATAATAACATTGAACGAACGAATTATATATCGAGTTTCGAGGAGGAATAACGTATAATAACATTGAATCGGCAATGAACGAGTTATATCGAGTTTTCGAGGAGGAATAACGAGGATGGTTATAAGGAATAATTTCGGTGATTGTCGGTGATTGGGATTCAAGGATGATTCGGCACGTGAACCGCGTGGAACGCGAGCCCCTCGAATTTAAAAGACTCGTTCGAACGGTCGGAACGAGGCGGCAAATTTTTTTCAGGTTTTCGTGCGACGTACGAGGCACGGCCGATGCCTCTGGATCAGCCACGACTTGATCACCTTTTATGGCTTTCCCAGGACAAGATCCTGAGGATCGTCGTGAATCGAAATGGAGGACCTCCTACGGTCGCCTCCGACCATTTGTCTCTCTCTCACGTCCCGTCTCGTCCCCGATCGTATATATCGATCGCTCGACGATTGTCAACGCCATTCGCGATACGTGAAAACCTTGAAACACACGAGCACGCTCTACTCTTGCGCGAAACGATCACCTTGGGTGGCCGTGCAACCCAACGAACACGATGTTAAGTAACAGGATGAACAGCCTCCGCCATTGTCGATCCTACAAGTGTTCTAACATATCGTTAAAGATATAAATGGGCGGAGGGGAGGAGGGGAGAGAGAGGAAATAATCATTTCTTCCATTTTTCTACCTTGAATAGCCTTGATTCGTCCGGGAATATGTTTCAAAGAAATCAGTGTATGGAGTATAATTCTTTTCCACTCTTTCCTTCTAGAGAAAATGTTAGAGAATACATATCTCTTCGTCCCCCTTGATTTCCACGTGGAACCTTTTCGAAAGGAATAAAACCAAGGAGACCACCGAGGTGGTTTATTAATTCAATTAAGCGAGACGGTTAATTTATGAGGGTGTCACGCTTTTTAGGATCGCATAGAATTCGTCAATAGGTGGATTTTCTTGCGACCGATCATCCCGGCGGATAGGGCGAGGAAACAAGGCGTCCTGGGTGGCCGTGTACCATAAAACGCGTTAACGTTCTTAATATTATGCAGGACACGCAACTATATAAAGCGTTCCCAATTGTGCGCCGACTAGCCGCGGAGAAAAAGGCCCCACGGCGAGGAAAAATCGCGGCGACCGCCGAAAAAGGAGCAGAGGAATGTGAACAGCGGTACGAGCATCTCCTTTTCTGTTTCGCCCTCGTTGCATACACAGATCGTTCTTACCGATTTCGAGACAAATAATCTCGTCTACATGAAAACCGACCCCGATTGCCTAATTGCCGATCACGTGTCGGCTTATTTGAAGAATTTAATAGCTCACTTTAACCTCGTGCATCTCTTTATTCATTTTCTCTCGCGAAATCGTTTCCATTGCTTTTTCCTTTTTTTATTCTCGGTGAGTATCGATTCTTGGGCGAGATCGAGAGTTGTTAATCGGGTATTGAGAACAGATGGATCGTGAAAATTAACTCGTGATTCTTTTTTTAAATGTGATTGGAATCGATTTCAAAAAAAAAGAAATGTTAATATTTGATAAGAGAATCATCGAAAGAGAGAACCATCATGGATCTCCCCTATAATTATTATTAAAGAAGAGTATTTAAATTGTAATTTTCGATACAGAGGAAAGATTGTATTTTCTCGTGCATCTTCTTCCAATCCTTTTCTTCCATAGCCAAATAACTGCTACTATATGTGAAATCTAATCGGACGTCAACGCAATACGATACAATACAAATCTACTTCAAAAACCTGGAGGATCACCTTTTACAAAATCCGCATCTGTTTCGCGACAGCTACAGAAATAACGATTTTTCCACGTCCATGCGACGTCCTCCCGGTATATTGTGAAGTCAGGGACATCGTGGTGAATGCCGAAAGCTCTTGGACTTTCGCGTTTCGGCTCGTTTCATCCCGGCAACACGACTGCATAGATCACCAGGTGTCGCTCTGTTTATACCACAAACGTCCAAACAAGTCGGCCGGGGTCCCTGGGGTCTATTAAGTGCGGACCTTTCAAAAGATCTACACGACTGGAAGGCAAAAAGAAAAAAAAAAAAAAGAAAAAAGTAAAAATAAAAAGAGGGCACGTTCGTTGTATACCTGGATCCAAAGAAGATCCAAAGAAGATCGGCCATTGATGTCACCGCTACACAACCGGTAAATATCGTAAATAAATCCCAAACACGATCCATCGTGTCTTCTGCCCGATTAACAGACGAATCCGGATGACTTCGATTCGAGATTCGTTGCAGTTGGGAATTTCGACTTTTCAAGAGTAAGATTTTACGATAGAATCTCGTTTGTGGAGGAAAGTGGTATTGTTTGTTATGGCGGTGACGCAAACTTTGTATTCCCATCGGAGCGTTCCTATCGATCCTTATCTGTTGATACCGTTGACACGTTTTCCTTGATCCGCCGACACCGACCACCATCCTCGATCATGCTTTCCTATCGGCATACATCGAAAACAAACCCTTTTGCTTCATCCTCGCCGAACCATTAACGTATCGTTATTTCGAAAATCACTTTATCTTAAACGAGGAGAAGATAATAATGAAGTTTTTCCAAAAGTGGGTGGAAATATTTTCACATTTTTCTCATCTCTTTCAGTCACGAGTTTTCAATACTCGTGTTCTTCCATTTTATTATTAAAATCGTAAAATCTTAAAAGCTGTAGACTTAAGAAAAAAAAAAAAAAGAGAAAGCAAAGCTTTCTCCCTTTTAATCGTGAAAATTAAAAATTCAACCGATCCAATTAATCCAAACTCGGCGTCCCCCTCGTGTTGGAATTATGTATTCATTACCGGCTCCGTGTAAAAGGAGCACGATTCTAACGATGGTACGCCCTGCAACCCGGTGAACGCCCGTTTGTCCACACATGGTCGAGCAAGAGGATGCATTAGCATCGAGCACGGGCCCTTGCAACCGTGATTAGAAACGCCGTGGACGGTGGTCGAACGAGGTGACGAGCGTATCCCCTTCGAAAGACCGGTAGCCGGCCTTTTTTCCTCGCATAAAAGATCAGAGGCTCAATATGGAGGTGATTAAAGCCGCGATGCGGCTTCGAAGCGAGGCATTTACGTTTCCGTGACTTTGTAATTACCTCTGCTTCGACCATTGTAACGATCGAACGTTGGGGCTGGTCGTTAAGAGAAATTAAGCAAGCTCCTTTCTGAATGTTTACTGCCGAC